TTGGTGGACCTTGAAGATAATTAAAATTAACGAAATTTGCGTAAGATAAGTCTCAGGCTTAAGCGTGGAATAGTTATAGATATCAATGTTTCAGGGGAACCCGCTGTCTCCATCTTCATGGTATAAGAATGGTGGACAGTTATCAACTTGTACACTTTGAGGGTTTCACGGCGGTGACTATGAAGAAAGCAATGTTCTGGGATGTGGCTTGCGGGTTTTCTTATTTTTCCTTCTACCCTGAAGATGGAGGGGATGTTTTCCTCCAAAACGTCGGTTAACACCACATCTACACGGTGCCACATCGCAGAAGACTGCTTTCTTCAGATATCAACTTTTAGAGAAACCTTTATCTTCAAGGTAGAAAAGTTGGAGAGAGGTACCGTGGTTCTCATAGGAACTTGATGTCTCCATCTTCAGGGCAGAAGAGTGGTAGATAGGCATCAATTTGCAGGAACATACTCTCTCCTTCTTCAGGGTATAAGACCCTGAAGGCAGCACGTTTCTCCTCCTAAAGTACACGTCTTCGTGTATCAGAAGACGAATATCGTCGCGTGCTTTCTGATTACCTTTTGAAACGCCAACTAAATGCAGGACGCCATTGGCCCTCCTGCTAGTTACTTTGCTTCTCATGTATTTCTACGTTAACCTTCACACCGATGCAAAAGGCAAGTGTGGGCTGGTACCGAGCGGAACCTCTGTGTGTGCATATATGGCTCACATATTGAACAGGACGGTTGTTCTGTTCTGAGTTTCTCTTGCCAGTTTGTTCTCCTGCTGGTTTCAGGTACGGTATTCCTGTGGAGTTCATTACTCAAACTACTCTCTATGTATAATACAATTATAATGGTGCTGCATGATCTTAAGAGTGGGCACGCGCTGGTTGAAGGTAAAACTAATGTTAACTGCAGGTGAATCTACAAACAGCAATCTCTTTGATGAGTTTTGCCTTCTGTGATAGACTGCCAAGGGCCAGTGAAAGTGCACCAATGCTGAAAAGGGAATACCACCTCTTCTTCAGTGCCTAAGAGTAAGCAAGAAACCAGCATGAAGCAGGCAACTAACAGAGCAAACCGCGCGAAGGAAAACTTAGGATCGTATAGACTAGAAGCCAACGAGTGCAAAATCCAAAATAATCTTCCTGCCCTCAGTTATTAAATAATTCTTATTTAGAAGAGTTTCATAAACCTGTATTTCATACTGCCACGTGTTGGGTGTGTAACGCGACAAATAACTTCACGCCGTATTTGATATAGCGAATTTTATTTCACATTCGCTCTTACAATCACCCAAATTACAATCTGACAATTACTGCCATCGGCAGTATCACAAATTATGACATCAAATCTTCTAACCACGTGTTAGGGTCTCCTTCCCGCGACTACTGCTGTATTTCAACTGACTTCTTAGTCAAAGTCAAAGTCACATTGCGACTGACGGTCAGTCAGTCTGTCTCTCTTGGTGTCGAGCCCCGACTGGGGCCCATGACCAGATTTTTTTTTCTTTATATGAAAGTTACTGTCCTGTTCATTTGGGGCACCGTCTCTGACGAGAGGTCGGGTCTGTCATTTGTCAGTAATACTCTGTGTTAGTAAGTCCATTGTCAGTATTTATATATATTTACAATTTAATCTTAATTCCTATTTCTATGTACAATATACGAGTATACAAGGCCTCTGTCAGTCCAGGCTCAGTACAGCAGATTTTGCCCTATTTCTAGTAGTATTCGCTACCACAGTAACCTAGTCACTTGAACGGTCGTATGCCTGACCGCCGCCAAGTTTAAGCCTCTTATATTTTCTGCTGACTTCTTAGGCAGTGTAGTTCTCTTATAAACCCTCAGCCAGACAACGGGAAACGCCTCGTTTACTTGTTGCCTAGTCGCCGTGTTTACAAAGGCGTTGTTGGGCAACGCTGCCGAGAGTTGTTTATTGCTGCATAACAGCCACGGCATCCCCCGCTACGTCACCGCGGAGAGGGAGTAAAGTTGACGGACCTGTTACCGTAGTAGCGACAGCGCTCCAATGTTATTACGTCACCGCTGGCGGGGGAGGGGATGTCCTCCATGGCTCAATACGTCACAATATTTTCTCAATATTGGATGTTATGGTAGATCTCCAAATAATTTCCGTATTTCCGTAACTTCATGTTTATAACAGACCGCCGCTGTGGTCTAGAGGGCAGAGTTTCTGGCTGCAGATCCAGAGGTCCCGGATTCGATTCCCGTGCTACCAAATTTTCTGAGAAGTAGTGGGTTTGGAACGGGGTCCACTTAGCCTCGTGAGGATAACTGAGTAGCTATTTCAAGGAAATAGCGTCTCCGGTCTGAAAGACCGAGATTAACGGCCTTGGGGATCCGTTGCGCTGACCACGTGACACCCTTTATCCGCAAAATTTGGCACTGACTTCGCCGACAAGCGGAGGCCGCTCGGTCGGTATAGTTCGCTTGCGGACTACAGGCCACGGATTTTTTTCATGTTTATAATATTCCTACTCTTCTATTCCTGTTGCTCCCACTTGGAGCGTAGGGTATCCGTGGAACGCTTCGTGTCACTTCACTTTCTTAATCTTAGAGAGTCGGTAGGACTCCTCGGACGGGGATCAGCCCATCGCAAGGCCGCTGCCTGCACAAACGCAGAATAAACACAAACACCCATGCTTTGATATGGGATTCGAAACCACGATCCCAGTATTCGAGCGGGAGGAAACATTTCATGCTTTAGACTGCGCGGCTTAGCATTGATAAAGATAAAATTCAGATAAACAAGGGGGCGACTTCATTGAGTGGACTGTCCGGCGTCTGTGTGAAGGTACACTTTCCGGCTGGACTGTACCAGGCAATTATGATGTTTAGAACTCGCTTTCAGTCTTAGAAGGAGAGCGACAAAATGGTTTGGCATTGCAGTGACATAACGAAAGCTGCAATTCTGGTTCTTTCTGAGTTTCAGTCAGGGGTAGGGTCACCTGAGACCATCATCATCAGCTCTTCAGTTACCGGGTCGCGCGAGAGAAAGTGTCACGGGTGCACCATATCTTACGAACTTCCTGTCTTCACACAGCAGAGTTAGTAGTTGCTCAGCTGGTCAGAAATTCCCCGTCTCTTATGGTACTCTATGATCCAGATCACAAGAGCCCGCCAGATTAATCCAATACACATCTTCGTACCATCTTTAATAGCCATTTTAATATTATTCGAAAAATGAAGGAGCTTAAGAAATTAATAAGGAGAAAGTGAATGGAAGGAATAGCGTAGTCAGTATAGCGACTGGCTACTGGCTGGACGGCGGAGGGTTGGAGTTCGAGTCCCGGTGTGGTCAAGAATTTTCTCATGTACATGTCGTCCAGACCATCTCTGTGGTCCGCCCAACCTCCTATCCAATGGTTACTGGGGACATTTTCCCAGGTGGTTAAAGCGGTCAGGTCGTGAAGCTGAACATCTCCAACTAGTGCCGAGGTCAAGAAAGTGTGGATCTATACATCCAATCACCTCCCCATATTCCTTTCTTCATGGTGTAGTGCTTAATTAGTTAAGCACAAGGACAAATGTAGCCTTCACTCTTCGCTGTCTAGTCTAGTACTATATGCAGACTGCCCAGGTTAATCTAACCCACTCATCCCATCCTATTTCTCTGGGATGCATTTTAATATTATCCTCACATACGGCTGTCTCCCTATTGGTCTTTTTCCTTTTGGTTTTCCCACCAAAATCCTGTACGAATTCCTCTTCCTTCCCATTCATGCTACATGCCCTGCACATCTCATCCTCCTTGACCTTATCATTGTAATTATGTTTATCGACGAGTACAAATTATGAAGCTCCTCATTATGCAGTGTACTCCCGTCTCATATTCTTTCATCTTTCTTGAGTCCAAATATTCTCCTCAGCTCCCCTGCTCTCAAAAACTCCTCTATGTTCGAAATGATGCCACCAGAGTCAAAGAGCATGCGTCTGATTTGTGTTCGCTGAAGAAGCAGAGTTTCCCGAGATATACTCAGACACTGGAACCAACTTATGTCGCTGCCGATCAGATGGTCACATTGAATCTCGTTATCGGTAAAACCGCGTTCCGCAAGGGTGGTCGAATTTTGGAGCTACAAAGTGACCCCCATGAGGTCCAGGCCACCAACTTAAATAAACTACAAATCTGATACATGCATACATGATGCATCCACATGCACAAGTTTTTGACCATGGCAATAAACGGCTAAATATTTTAATGTTCTTAATTAGAAAAGACGTGTATAAAACTACGCAGCCTTTCTCAGCTCACGCCGTTACAGTCGAAGTGCTTAGAGACAACCATACTCTTACAATAACGTCATGTGCTTCTAATTGGTACCGTTACAGTGTGTCACGTAAGATTTACACCATTTCGGAGGGACCTTATGAATAGCTCCAGATTACGACCTTTTGGACTGTAACATCTTGTAGTGTCGATGGGTACCAATGTTTTGGAGTATCATACTACTTTCACATTCACCTATACCTTGAAGATTGAAGCAGCACATTCCTCTGTAGCTCTGGTACCCATCTGTCAGGCTACACGATATCATCGCTCAAAAGACCACATTATGAATATTCATCGTCATGGAAACCAGAAATCTATGAAGAGCTTATTGCCGACTCATCACGGTAAGGCAGATGAGGTACTGCTTGTAGTTGAAGTAAAGCAACTATTCGTCACTAGTACACTTGCTTCTCTAAACGGAATCGTTCTACTTAATGAAGGATTAACCTTTTGATGCAGGATACTCATCTAAGTAACATAAATATTCAGTTCGTACCTCACAGGAAACACACTGCGTCTGTGTTACAGAGACCAGCCGGTTAATGCTGTTAGGGACTAAATCTTTATTTATTGTGAGAAACATGCGAAACACATAAATAGACTCTGTTGAAAATTTTAGAGTTTTTTAATATTAACGTATGCAGTGCTTTAATAAGCAATGTACTTTAAAGGGTTAATAGTTTCTCGTTAAGCTAAAAAAGTGAGAATACTCACGGAGTTCTTTGGTTCGTGACCGGAGCGTGTAGCCATCCAGCGTCACCCATAGCTAATCCAGTGTGGTGTCACTTTCCTGTATATATGGCTACAGCTCTTCGCAGTGCTGACAGTAATACTATATTTTCATCACTTCTTAGTGCATGTGCTTAGTGTAAGTGACTATGCCAGCGAAGAGATTTTTGTTTGCCTACACGAAACAGTAGTCTGCCTTACCAGTGCTGAAGTGACTGTTCATTTAGATGAGACGGCGGCCTGTGACCTCGAGGTTAACACAGCGTGTAGAGGGTAATGAAGTAATTACACAGTGAGGAAAGATCCTTAGTTTCGAAGATTCCAGGAGACGAACTGTGAAAGGAAGGAAAGAATTGTGGTAGGAAGAAGGGGCGAAGGAAAGAAAAATTGGAGGAAGAAGGGAAGAAAGAAAGAATAATGGTAGGAAAAGGGAGGAAGGAAAGGAAATTAACAGGAATAAGGGAAGAGGAAAAGAATAGAATGATTAAGAAAAGAATAACAAATAGCGGAAGAAATTATTTGGGAAGAAAAAGAAGGATGGAAGAATTAAGGAAAGAAAGGAAAAAGAAAGTAGTGAAGAAGACGAACAAACTGGAAGTTACTAGGGAGAAAGGAAAGAAAAACATTAAGGAAAAAAGAATAAAAGATATGAATAGTTGCGGAAGAATTAGAAAAGAAAGGAAGAAACTGGCTAGGAAGGAGGGGAAGAAGGGAAGAGGGAAATAAAGGATGAAGGAAAGTAAGGAGAAAGGGAGAATGAGGAAGTGAAGAGAGAGTAAGGAACAAATGTCCGCCGAAGAACTGCAACCATGCAAAGAATGTTGTCATGTTGATCCGTCAGTAGCGGCGGAAGAGGCTGCTACCTCTGTGAAAACCCGTGGAATGTTCCAGCAGATGCCACATGGCGGAAGGACCGAAGTAGAGCAAAGTTGCTGCATTGCCTCGGTACGAAGCACGTGCTTACGCAGCTCAGAGACGGCAGCTGCTGCTTTCTTATGCCCTTGCGAGTAAGTTGTTAGGACAGCAACAATGCGCTCTTACTGCGCGCAAATAGGCGTTATTCCTCTTACTTGGAAACTACGATTTCATTTCAGATTAGGCGTTCTCACCTCGCGGTTCTGCAGTGTGGTTTGTGTGGCCCATGTTTCGTAATATTGTATAATTCTGCGCAATCAAAGAGACTTAAAACCCAAATTAAATACAGGTATTTAATTTTAATTGAATAATTATCGAAATAACAAATACAAAATGTACTGAAGAAATAGTTGTGTAGTATGTCAATCTATCTGTGGTAGGCAAAATTTTAATATGATTTTTAATAAATTGCTATTTATATTCAATTAATTGTTATTTATAAATCATGGGCCTATGAGTCGTTAGGATGAATGTAGACCTAAATCGTAAACACTGAGAACTTCTGTTTTAAATTTTTCTCCGCTCAAGAATATCGCAGTTCCTTTACCAAACCGTTGAACTAACTTCCGTTTCTCAAATATGTCAGATCATTGCAACCAGGATGTAAGAAATGTTTGCAGATGGTCACTAGCTCATTGGATTTGAGATTCTCACAGCGGTCACTATGAAGAGTATGGGTGTCTGTGTTGTGACGCCGTTCTTTCTGAAGAAAGTCGAATTACCGCCTGCCTCTGCTGCTGTTTCGTGGGTTACTCTCCGACTTTGAACATGGAGGCGATATATTCCTCCTAAACTCTGGTCTTTCTCCGAAGTTCACGGCGTTGCAACTCTTCCGTTAACGGTTCCTTTGAAAATATGGTGAAATTCAGATATTTGAGAACGATAATAGCAAATCACAAGTGGATTAATGGATATTATTTTTATAGCTAGTGGGGTGGGACTAAGTCCCTTGTACTGCGGCCACTTCTGGCCTATTGTACCAGCCCCAGATGATAGGTGAGGGTGATTGTGGAGCAACTGGTACAATAAAGTTTAACAGGGGAAACCGAAGTACTCGGAGAAAATCTGTCCTAACACCACTTTGTCCACCACAAATACCACTTGACCAGACCCGGAATCGAACCCGGGCCACCGCTGTGGGAAGCCAGCGACTAACCGCTTGAGCTATGGCGCGGCTACTAATGGAGAAATTAAGAACGGATTGAATTCAGTTAATGCTTACATCATTCGGTTTAGAATCCTTTGTCTTTCCGTTTGCTGTCTGAGAACCTAAAGATTAAAAGACTAAAATGGATCTTGAACAAATATGATTGGAGGGTGTGGACTGGATTCATCGCCTCGGAATAGGGAGCAGTGGCTGTGTCTTATGAACACGGTAATGAACCTTCGGGTTCTATAAAATTCTGAGAATTTTATGACAAGTTGAGCATCCATTTGTCTCTCAAGAAGGGCTCTGCCCCACGTAATTAGTTTCTCAGTTACATATTGAATTGAAGAAACCAAGGTAAGGGAGAGATCACAGCTTCTTTACGCAACTGTTCGTAATCAAGCCTTTAACTCATCAACTAAATACCAGGCACTTCAACTTGCTGCACGCCAAGTAGTTTTGAGTGGCCCGTGAGAATATCCTTCCACCCCCCCACCCCCAAACGTTTAACGAGTTTCTCTTAAAAAAGAAATAATGTTAACAAGAACAGGGTGTTGAGGAGAATATTCGGACCGAAGAGAGTTGAAGTGACAGGAGGTTGGAGAAAACTGCATAATGAGGAGCTTCATAACTTGTACTCTTCTCCAAGTATAATTAGAATGATCAAGTCAAGGAGGATGAGGTGGGAAGGTTATATAGCACGAATGGGGGAGACGAGGAATGCGTATAGGATATTGGTGGGAAAGAAAGAAGGAAATATATAACTGGGAAGATCAAGGCGTAGGTGGGTGGACAATATTAGAATGGATCTTAGAGAGATAGGATGGGATGGTATGGATTGGATTGATCTGGCTCAGGATTGGGACCAGTGGGGTTCTCTTGTGAACACTGTAATGAACCTTTGGGTTCGATAAAATGCTGGGAAATTCTTGAGTAGCTGCAGAATTGGCGGCTCCTCCAGAAGGGCTCACCTCCATGAGTAAGTAAGTAAGTAAGTCTTTTCACACGAAACCTACTAAATATCTTAGAAAATCGTGGAATTAGTGTATCATCGAGATCGTATGCAAGATAGATTCAGTATAGCAGACATACAACAGTCGATATTTAAGTGTAATTGACTTGTGAATATTTAATTTAAATTCATTTTTAGAACTATATAAGAAAGAGACCACTAGGAACACCTAAACATAGATAGATGGATAACATTAAACTTAGTCCTAGAGAGATAGGATGGGGTGATATGAACTGGATTGATCTGGCTCAGAATAGGGACCAGTGAAGTGCTCTTATCAACACGATAATGAACATTCGGGTTCCATAAAATTGTGGGCAATTCTTGAGTAGCTGCACAACTGGCTGTTTCTCAAGAAGGGCTCAGCAACATGAAGTTATTTTTTGAGCTCTATAGGTTCAATTTTCTTATTTATGTGCATGTGCTCCACAGATCCGATTGCTGCAAAGCTGATATTTCCGGATGTGCTTTTTATAAAAAGGCTTGCGGATGAGTACACTAGATACAATGTGGCCAGTCTTTTGAATTTGGTCAGTCCTGATATGATACAATTTTCTATTGCAGAATAAGAGGTATATTTACATATAAATTTTACAATTTTTATTATAATAATGTATTTTTTAGAATAATTCCGAAGTACTAATTTAAGCCTACCGTGTTTTATTAAAACAACACATTTTCAGGCAAGAGAAGTGAGTGAACTTAAATACAAAATAAATACAACAGAAATGAAAGTTTCCTCAGATCACGTTCTAGAAAATAATGTACAGAGCAGCAGGTGCCATTAATTTCCATTAATGATGTCGCTTGACATATGGACGTGGTCGGTTGCAGCTGTAATTGCTCGCGTCGGCCCTTCCTCAGTTGCTGTTTTGCGGATCTACTGCCGCCAGCCTCGCATTGCCTCCCAGACTGACAGCCGACTGCATTAACCTTACAGCAGGGGCACTTCCATTGTTCGGCTGTTCACTTGACGATAACAGATTGATGTCAGGTCGTGGCCCATTGGTACGAGTCAAAATCTGATGTAGTGGTAACGCTCCAGATTTGTATTTGGGGGAGGTGCACAATTCGAATTTCACTCTGCGGGACACGGAAACACCAACACTTTTCCTTCGTCCCTCCAGAAAATTAACGGGATATTTTTATTTATTTCCTTGGGTGATGTGAGACTGAGTCCAGTTTGTACGTCGGCCATTGATTGACCTATTTTACCAGACCCGGATGAGAGACGATGAGCGCGGAGCAGTCAGTGGAATTAGAATTGGCAGGGAAACCGAAGTACTTTGATAAAACCTGCCACAGTGCCACTTTGTCCACCACAAATCCCACAGAACCTTACCTGGTATCGAACACGGGCTGCCCCAGAATAACAGGATAGTACCCTGATTAGGCTACGGTCACCTCATTTCAAATCCTTCATAATTCATTATTCACCACTCTCCTTGCCATTCGGCGCGCTATATGTTACGAGACAGTGACGGTGTCTTGAAGCGAATCACAACGAAACCTAAGATATAAACGTATTGTCCCTGTGCATAATTACTTATTGCCGATCACAGTGGCCGCGAGGTCTAAAGCATGAACTGTCTTCGTCCTCTCAGACACTGGGATCGTGGGTCCGAATCCCACTCGAGGCATAGATGTCTGTGTGCATTTATTCTGTGTTTGTGCTGTCTTGTATGCAGGTAGTGGCCTTGCGACTAGCTGATCCCCTGTCCAGTGAATTCTACTGACTGTGTAAAAGTTCAGAAACCGAAAAAGCAGCCAAGACGCATGGGGAGTGGAGGTATAACTCATTGCATTCTTAACCTCGGCAGTTGATGAAGGCAAGTTGCCAGGTTCACGACCCAGGAGAGAAGGATCTCCACGTAACGATTTGAGTGGGTCTTACAGCTTTGAGGAGAAGGGGGAAAAATCTCTTGTCCTTTCGGAGAATCTACCCCAGATTCCTCGGTCGTCCGGTCCATAGTCTGGTCGTTATAACGACTAAGCCATCCATGCCCATCCGTTAACTTTATAAGACGGCCCATATACGTACGAGTCTGGGTTGCGAGTCTGGCTCGAGGAGGAGCCGGGCTCGGATTAATTTCACCACACACGTATGAGCATGGTGACCCACACACGGACGAGTTTGGCTCATTGGAATCCGAGCCGAGTCGGACTCGCGAGCCAGACGCGTACGTGTATGGGCCCCCTAAGGACGAAAAATGTCAGCCCATTTTGACCGTAAGTTTTTCCTTTTGTATATATCGTTATGGTCATGCGTGTAGAGGATTTTCTCCGTTGTGGTAGGATGCGGGTACTCATGGCCGTCATTATGAAGAGGGTTGTTTTGGGAAGTGACCATGTGTAGAAGTTTATTGACGTTTCGGAGTAATTTACTGTTTGCATCTTCAGGGTCGAAGAGTAAGCCGAGTAAGAAAGAAGCAGCAATCAGTTATCACACCTCGGAAGTCAGTCATCATCTGTTAGTTTGTTTCTTTGTAGGTTTGTTTGCAGGAATGAAGTCTCAACGTTAATGCACACAGCTGGAAACAAAAATATATGACAAATATGCCTAGAATCGATCCCATGCTACCGAAAGTGACAACCAAGTGTTTAGCATTTCTTTTAGTATTTGGGAAGAAAGGGGTTTATACGTATTTCCGGACACCTTCAGTCCTGTCTTGAAGTATCTCGTGTCTTTCCGTAACTTCCAGGCAAATAACATGATGACAATTTCCACATCCTTCCAAATTCATCACTCATAAAGCATCCTGTCATTCTGTACTATATAACATAAACAGTTGAAACAGCTGGGTTAAATAATCAGTAATTTCAACCGAGACCCTCCACTTTGTGTCAACTCTTTACAGACTGAAGGTGTCAGGCATGGAACTAAATTTGTGGACACATGCAAAAGAAAATTTAGTCTTTCTTGATGAATAGGGTCTGTTGGGTTGTAAGGCAATGTATTTTAGAGAGAGCTCGACGTTTCGGAGGATCGTATCGCCTACAATTTCTTAACTTACTTTTTCGACCCTGACGATAGAGGCGTTATGTTCCTCCGAAGCGTTGGGTTTTCTCCGAACTACTCGCGTTACAACTCAAAAGACAGAACTGTTCATCGTCAGAACCTCACCCCCAACTGAATTTTTCTTATTTGTTCTTAGTGCTTGAATCATTAATATTCATGCACTTTTGAAATATGCAGCTGTGATGCATTTGTGACGTTTGTGACCACGATCTAAATGTCTCTAATTCCAGTTAACTTTTTGTTCTTGTAGAAATGGTAACGCGAGAAGAGGAGTTGAGCGGGTTGGCTTAGCGGTAACGCCCTGGATTTGTATTTGGGAGAACTCAGTTTGAATCTCTGTCTGAACATCAGGTATTCTGATAGACTTTTTTCGCAATTCTCCTCATCGATATAAGTAAAATCTGGGATATAATCCGATTACGTCACGACTGATTCCCTTCATATCGTTTCCAATTTGACCCTCTATAATCTAGGTACTAACATCATCGTTAAATAACCCAGAGAAAGGTAGACTTTCTTTTCCTTGGCACTACGGCCCCAGTGGCCTAGGCCTACCTCCATGAACTTCTCAGTTCACGAAAGGTAGACTTAGAAATATGAATACGTATAGTAATTATTATTATTATTATTATTATTTGGCACGCGACTGCCTCTGTGGTCTAGTGGTCAGAGTTCCTGGCTACAGATCCAGAGGTCCGGGTTCGACTCCCAGCGCTACAAGATATTTTCTGAGAAATTAAGCGTCTGGAACGGGGTCCACTCGGACTAGTGAGGATAATTGATGAGCTATTTCAAGGAAATAGCGGCTCCGGTCTGGAAAATGGAAATTAACGGCCGTGGGGATTCGTTGCGCTGACCACGCGACACTCTCTACCTGCTAAAGTTGGCACTAACTTCGCTGACAAGAGGCGGTCGCTCGGTTGGTATAGTTCGCTTGCGGACTAAAACCACGGAGTTTGTTTTTTTGGAAGTCTAGTTAGCTGAGGCACTATGCTACAAGTCGGAAGGTCGCGGGTTCGAGTCCCAGCGAGTTTATTGAATTTTTCAATTGATCTAATCCTTCCAGCCGCACTATGGCCCTGGTGTCGACTCAGCCTCTAACAGAAATGAGTACCAGCTATCCTCCTAGGGTGTAAAGGGCGGCCGGCCCGTAAGGCTGACAGCCTGACCGCCGTCTGTGAGACGAATGTCTTGGAAATATGGGAACCTCGACGTCTCACAACCCTACGGGCTTCCACGGTCTGTTACAGGGATACCTTTACACTTATTATTATTATTATTATTATTATTATTATTATTATTGTTCCTGTTGTTGGATAAATCGTTCGAGCCTTCGGAATCATCATTACTTCTAACTGATATTTTGAATACAGACCATCATCCCACATTTTCAGAACACAGCGTTTCGGAAAGTGACCATTGCCTTCATCAGCTGGAAACCTGAGGTATGGAATCCTACTCCATTCGGTCTGTTAGCAAAGCTGAACTAGGATCCAACTTTACAGTCCATCGCCTAATGGAACAGAACCAATTCCTTAAAGACTGTAGTTTGAAAAAACTTGGACTTTGTCCAAAATGTCGGTCAGAAACCTTCATACTTAGCCTCTGATACTGATTGGATTCATGACTTCCGTGGATAGACGGAAACTATAATAACCAGTTCTTCCTGCAGTAAATTATTCTGCACTGAAAGTGCTACACATTGAATCAAGTCTAGACCGGTAGAGTATAGGAGAGCGGATGGTCAGGAGAGATAGATGAGGTGGGAATTAAACGAGTGAAAGTTGGGGAGGAACACGATGTGCCCCTTCTAGCGAGTTGCTTTTGTGAGACAGATAGCCGATCTGGTTCCAGATGTCAAGGGAGTGCCCTTTCCAACTGACCCACCCCGGCACCACCCACCCACCCCTTCCAGCATTAACCAGTTCATCCTATGGCAACGAGTTCGAATACTTCCGTATATAAAGCATCGCGAATTTGCTGCAAACATAGCAGTCCCAGCTCAGCTTTAGCAACACACGTGAAGATGAAGACTGTTCTGGTAAGCAATACATAATTTCTTCATTTGATCTACGTCTTTAAAATAACATTTATATTTCCAGAGACCCGGAAATCAAAATCGAACGTAAGGATACTCTTGAGTACCAAAGCACCCGCAGAATTCACTAGGCCTCAGATATCAAAAGCTATTCGGAGGAAAACGAATTTGTGTTTAGTATTAAAAGAAATCATTTCTCCATTTATTGTTGGTTATATAGCGAATTCGAACTGTATAGGGCCGAATGGTAGGTTGTTTGATGGTTGCTGAATTGGAAAGGATCTGAAAGGAAGAAACCGTGGCCGAATCGAGGTATTATCTTGGAAGTTATTTGGAGCAACTGAGGAAGAGCACAAACATTTTAGGATAACCGATGTCCAGACAGAGATTCAGTTTTAGAACTTCACGAGTTTGAGCCCTGCGCATTGGAGCTTGTGTCACCTTGCTAAAACAGCTGAGTTCCGAGTTCCATATGGTGTAGCCTAGTTGGGGCACTCGGAGGTTCCTTCAGCTCTTCTGTCATTCTATTAAGTTCTGAGTTATTCCTTATCAAAAGTATCAGAGGAACCCTGTAGCATTGTCTTCTTGTGAGATATTTGTCAGTGGATAGACGGTATAACGTCGAATGGTAGATAGATGAATGATGAATTGGAAAGGATTCAGAAGGATTGGTCGCGGCATAATTGAAGTCTATCCTGGTATTTGTATAGAATGATTGAGGAAGACTAGGATAAACCTCAGTCAGGATAGTCAATGTCCTGGCCGAGACTGTAACCGAGAATCTCCCCAATACGAATCTGCCGCTACCGCTACTCTGACCTTGATGCGTCGATTGTCATTAAAATGTCATTAAATTAAATAACTCCATACAACAGAATTCTTAACAAAATAATAGTTTCTTAGCTATTCAGGAAATTCTCTGCTTATATATAGTCCAAATATTCATTATAATTTTCACAGAGTAGTCTTTCGAAATTCTCAGGTATGAAACTGAGATTTTACCACCGCTGTGGTCTAGTGGTCAGAGTTCCTGCCCACAGATCCAGAGGACCTGAGTTCTATCCCCTGCGCTACCAGATTTAATGAGAAGTAGTGGATATGGAATGGGGTCTACTCAGTCTCGTGAGGATAACTGAGGAGCTAATTGGAAGGAAAAGTAGCGGCTCCGGTCTAGAAACCCGAAATTAACGGCCGTGAGGTTTCGTCGCGCTGACCAGGCGATACCCTCTATTCGCTAAAGTTGGCACTAACTTCGCTGACAAGGGGCGGTCGCTCGGTCGGTATAATTCACATGCGGACTAAAACCACCGAGTTTATTTTTATTTGTTTGTTTGCATAACACTAATATTTAGGAACAAATGTAGGTCTCCAATGAAAGACGTAGCTACTAACATCGGTTGGTAGATGAAAGTGCTCTGAAGTTTTCGATTTGTTAATTCGTTGCAGTGCAAGAACATATTAAAATGCTTAATTCCATAGAGGGGAGAATTATGTGAAACTACCGCAGACTTTATCTTTCAGAACAGAATCATATATCCACAGTACGCAAACGCGTAACATTGCAAGGTTTCTTCGGTTAATTGCGCGGATGATAATAATCACTTTTATTTCGTATGATAATATTTCTCAACCATCGGTCACAGTGAGTCGTCTCTTCAGATGATTGCGTTATCTCACTTGTTTCAGATCTGTTCTCTAGTACTGGCACTGGCCGTATCTGGCGCCATCTCTGAATCTGGGAAACCCAGCAAACAGCAGACAAAGCGAGGGGTGCTCGGTTTGGAGTATGGTGGATCGGGGTTGGCCTTGGGCCAAGGCATCGGTAGTATTGATTTGGGCCATGCAGGAAGCATTGGTCTAGCAGGCTATGGTGGGGGATACGCCCTCGCCAGCGGAGGAATTGGCCTCTCCAGCGGAGGACTTGCCCTTAGCAGCGGAGGACTTGGACTCGGATCTGGTGCCATTGGGCTCACCGCTGCTGTCTCTCCCGTCCGCGTGACTACAATAACACAACAAGTCCCTGTCCCTGTACCTCACCCCGTTCCAGTCACTGTAAACAGACCTGTCCCTGTGCCAGTCCCGTCCCCATACCCCGTGTCCGTCCCTCGTCCCTATCCAGTTGCTGTGCCTCATCCCGTTCGGGTTGAGGTCCCGAAACCGTATCCAGTCACGGTGGATCGACCTGTTCCTGTCCCTGTGCCCCATGCCGTCCCTGTCCCTCGTCCATACCCTGTCTCAGTCCCCAAACCTGTCCCTGTAGCAGTTCCTGTGCCCCAGCCAGTAGCTGTTCCTGTGCCTCATCCTGTAGCTGTCTCTGTGCCTCAGCCTGTAGCTGTCCCTGTGTCTCAGCCTGTAGCTGTCCCTGTGTCTCAACCTGTAGCTGTTTCAGTGCCTCAGCCTGTAGCTCTTGCTGNCCCTGTGTCTCAGCCTGTAGCTGTCCCTGTGTCTCAACCTGTAGCTCTTGCTACAGTAGGTTTGGGGTCTTCCATTGGTAGCGGGTCTATTGGTGGCCTGTACAGCTCGGGATCTCTTGCAGGTCTGGGCTATGGTTATGGAGGTTCCATCTCACTTGGAAAACTTTACAGCGGTTCCAGCTCACTTGGAGGACTTTACGGAAGCTCTTTGAGCCTGGGATCCAGTGCTGGATATGGTTCCAGCTCACTTGGAGGACTTTACGGAAGCTCTTTGAGCCTGGGATCCAGTGCTGGATATGGTTCCAGTTCATTGAAAGGAATCTACGTACCCAGTTCACTCGGCGGACTTCATGGCAGTAGCTACGGATTGGGATATGGCTACAAGGGTTAGATGTCACAGGAATAGACACATTTTTGAAGAAGAATCGTTATCCATCTTCATTTTTCGGCGCAAACTAGCATTAGCATTGTACGTATAATCGTTATGTAACATAAAAATCAACCAAATGTTATCTTGTATTACAAATTTTTATAAATAAAATATAATAAAATTTATATGCGTTTTGTAAATAATTCTGACGAGATCCTGAGCTCCAGAGTTGGGACGCTGCAACGCACAGATATAGCTCGTTTTCCTTCCCTTCCCAATTATAAGTTGTTTCCTTGAGGATTCTCCGGAAACTGTTGAAATGAGACCTCCAGACCAGGTACCTCAGACATTATAAATCCGTGAACTCCTACTATATATGTATTATTGATTTACAAAATCCATTCTGTCTTTTCTTATCGGTTTCTCTAAATGTTTTGCTCAACCTCCTGCGTGCAGTAGCTCAGCCTGTTAGTCGCCAGCGTCCCACACCGAAGGCCCGGGTTTGATAACAAACCAGGCCGTGTATGATTTGTAGTGAAGAGAGAGGCACTGGAGCTGGTTTTCTCTGGCCTCTTCAGTTTCCCCAGCCTCAAACAATTCCACATTCGTTAATTATCCTATCATTTCTTTTTTTTTTTCCTTGGCACTACAGCCCCAGTGGGCCTAGGCCTACCTCCATGAACTTCTCCGTTCACTTCGGTTTTTCTAGATCTTACACATACGGTAGGACTCCTTGGGCGGGTGATCAGCTCTTCGCAAGGCCTCTACCTGTAGACAAACACAGAAAAACGCACACAAACATCCATGCCCTGAGTGGGATTCGAACCCACGATCCCGGCTTCCGAGCGAGAGAAGACAGTACATGCCTTAGACCGCTCGGCTACGGTGACCGGCATCCTATCATCTAAGCTATATAATATCGATGCTGAGAGCATCGTTAAATAACCAACGCAAAAGAAGATCAGAACTTTGCTTTGCCACTGCTTTTCCAATATCTATAAGCTGGTAAATTTTAATATTTCAATATTTTAATTTGTGTACTTCGTCTGCGAGCCGTCCGCCGGACACGTGCAGCCCGCTGGTTGGACACTAATGGTTCTGAAGATTTTGTGAGAAGCACCTCTGGCGGTCAAGTTAAATCTGATATCATGAAATACGACATGTCCAGAAGACGAACATTTTGCAGTATACATTGCATGACTCATGCTTTGTGTGTCGATGTTTCTCCACGTCGTCCAGACCGGCTCTGGGGTCTACCCAACCTCCTATCTAGTGGGTACCGGGGGACTATTTCCTTGGGGCGTGGAGCTCACCACTCACCTCCAGCTAGTGCCGAGGTCAAGAATATGTACTTATACAACTGTACATCCACTCCCCCATATGCCTTCATGGACTAGTGCTTAATTAGTTAAGGACGGGGACTTTACCTTTTTTTTACCTCATATCGATGTACTCTATTTTTTCTTCCGAGAAATTATGAAGTCAAATTCAATATTTGTACATGACATTAAAATTATATATTTCTTCTTTCTCGCATTGAAAGCAACCGGGTCTCGAGGTGCTACTTCTGCTCCACATGCCGGAGGTCCCTTCTTCTGATCACGATTGACAATTTTCGTGATATTCGTCTGTCCAGGTAAATGAGAGGCAACAGTCGTTTCCCAGTATATGGCTTGCATCTCAGCCGGGCCAGCAGTTATCCTGGGGTTTATCGTGTATTTTCTCAGTTCCTCTTTCAAAATGGCGGAAAAATAGCTCAAATTAGGTCAGGACTCTTTCTGTTCACAGCCTTTGCAATTCATCATTCATTAAATCATCATATCATTTGATGCCCTGTTACTGCTGAAGGTGTTGTGGAATTATTTGCTTCACATTTCAAACTTTTCCAGATAGTACACAAACACATCTGTGGGTATTGCAATAATAGATGGAATGCATTCATCGCATTTTTAATGACAGTGTGAATGTCCAGGTCAAAGCAGGAAATAAACAGGGCCATTTCGTAAAAAAAAGATAAAAAGTTAAAATTGTCCCTGTGCTTAAATAATTAAGTCCAACTCCATGAAGACGTATGAAGGAATGGAGTTATAACTTCACAATTCTTGATCTCGACACTAGATGGAGAGGACTGATCAGCTTCACTCTCCAGCCTCTTTACCTCCAGGTACAGACTCCCCGGTACCGATTGGATAGGAGGCTGGTTGGGTCCCGGCGCCGGTCTGAATGCTATGGAGGAGAGGAAAAGCCTAAATTATAATAATTTGTTGGTGGTGGGGGGACAAAATAACCCACGGTGAATTTAAATCTCTCATGATTTCTTATACTGAAGGCTTGAATTACTAGGCCTGCAGCCAAACGAAGCGGTGAGGGCTGTGGCAAAGATATCGGAAGTCCTGGTGCCTAAGAATACTCAGAATGTGGCCGGAGCAGTGCCAAAACCTGCATCCGGTCGCTGGCTACTTAACAGAAATGCAAGCTACATATGTCGCCTTTTCGGACGAGCGGGGCCTACTTGTCGAGGCGTATACATGCGTGTTTCAAACCGTTGTATTTTCAATTTGTGAAAGGTTTATAAGGACAGGTTTATAAGGCAGGGCATGTAGCAAGAATGAACGAGAAGCGGAATGCATATAGGACATTGGTGGGAAAGCCAAAAGGAAAGAGACCACGGGGAAGTCCAAGGCGTAAGTGGGTGGACAATATTAAAATTGATCTTAGAGAGATGGGATGGTATGAATTGGATTGATCTGGCTCAGAATACGTACCAATGGAGGGCTCTTATGAACACTGTAATGAACCTTCGAGTTCTATAAAATGCAAGGAAATTCTTGAGTAGCTGCAGAATTGGCGGCTCCTCAAGAAGGGCTCAGCTCCATGAGTAAGTAAGAAAGTAAGTAAGTAAGTAAGTAAGTAAGTAAGTAAGGTTTTGCTTCTCGCTCCTCAAGGCAGATACTTAATACAGTTATTTGCGAATATCTTTCTCATGTATTATGCTCATTTCAAAAAGTTCCAATCATACAGAGATATTGGGTTTTCGGACTTTGTCCATCCTCCTGGTTTTTTTAAGATAACTAAGAAAAACACGACGTTTCGGAAACTGGATCTGTTTCCGTCCTCAGGTGAGGGAAAACACCTATTCTGTTGGGTCCCTTAGAAAGAGCTAGCCTCAATCACTGAACCTGAGGACGGAAACAGATCCAGTTTCCGAAACGTCGTGTTTTTCTTAGTTATCTTAAAAAAATCAGAAGGAAGGACAAAGTCCGAAAATCCAATATCTCTGTGTGTTATACACCATCATCAGAATCCTATAGTAACTACTAGTTCCAATCATCATTGTCAATTATAACATTTTTCAGGGTAAATCACGCCTTGTGTACGGAACCGCGTGGATGAAAATTCCTGTTGTTGGACTAAGTCTGTCATAATCTGCTTCTAGGGATAATAGTTTATATACTGTGAATTGCAATCAAATGTTTACGAAATCAATAACACATTGATATCTGTACATGACATTCGTGAGCCGGGATACCTCAGTCTATGTAGGGTTGTGCTGCTGGCTGGCCAGCCGTCGTTCGAGTCCGGATAGCGGCATCCATAACGTCTAGACAGACTCTGGGGCCTACCTTGCCTCCTATCCACTGGGTCCCAGGAGTTCTTTCCCTGGGCACGAAGCTGACAACTTACCTCCATCTATTGCCGAGGTCAGTAATGGTGGAGATATACCTCCACTCCCCTATACGTATTCAGGGCGTGGTGCTTAATTAAGCACAGGGACACTTTTACCTTTACCTGTACATGACACTCGTTGCGTTTTTAGATCTGTTGACCCTCAGTTCCTTTTGCCCTCAGGATATGGTTCCAGTGCTGAAACTGTGCTGTCGCACGGACCGCTTACAACACACCTCTTCCCATTTACTCCATTGGTGCTTGTTAGGAATCTGTTGCCAAGCAACTGACGTTGTTTACAGAGTCATTACTTAGCAACTGGTCTAGATGATGCAGTATGATATGTATTACTCCAAATATCATGCATTACTCTCCATGCTTCCGGCTGTAACTGTCAGGAACTGAACTCGTAGTGCGGTATAGATACTGAGCAGCGGTATTCTGAAACGTTGGATGTTAGAATGGCTTAAATATTTCTGAAGAAGGAACAACGAATGACGACTAGTTCACTTGCAGTTCATTAAAGGAACTTATGCTCACTTGAACCGTAAGCAACCTTGCGCAACATCAGCTTTTCGTACAACATCACGAAACGTCTGAATAAAAGTATCCAAGTGACAGGAACCATTAGAGACGCCATCAACCGAGGCATTATGTCAGAATATTTAATTAAATCTTCTGTCAAAATATAAAGGTTTCTCCTATGACAAATATCCATGCAAAATCTTCATTAGCTCTGAATCTCGTGACACAGGCAAGGTTAAGTTGGAGCAGGCGTTCATTGTGCTCGTGGAGTACTTAATTCTCCCCACAGGTCGTGGTATTAAATGTTTATCGTGACAGATAATCGCAGTGAATTAGAATAATCATTTTGTTGGCGCTAGTGTCTGCATACTGAACAGTGAACCATCTGCGTAATGAGGCGAGAGTACTTGACAAGGCAACACACCTACTGAGAGATCTTTTCTTCAGCCAACTGGCGTGGCGAGTTCTTCAGCTACAGAAATTTTCTTCATTCCAAGACAAACGTTAAATGATAGTGGCTGCTATAATCTGTTGTCTGCTGTCTATTGATTCTCATTATAATTCGTGATTTCAATTTAATTGGTTGGATGTCAGTGATATATGAAGACGCTCATGCAGAATGAACGATAAGCGCAACAGTGGGTTAAGGCAAAATTACATAATTATGGGCTTCATAATTTGTACTCTTCGACAATTATAGGATAATAAAAATAAGGTGGAGTTTGGTGGCACATTTAGCTCATATGGGAGAAACGTGAAATGTATAGAGAATTTGAGTTGGAAAATTTGAAAGGATGAGCCAACTTCAGAGACGTAGATATAGATGAGGA